CTTCTTCTCTGTACTCCAGATTCATATATCTAGCTGCCCATTTGAAATCTTCACTTACAGATACCTGATAGGCATCTCAACATTAACATGGTCAAAATACAATCCTAGACTCACAAAAACACTTCCACCTCTACCTCTGTTTGCCCCTTATCATTATAAAACTAATTCTATCTCTCCAGTTTCATAGGCCAAAACTGAACTCTTCTTCTACTTTGCCGGTCCTACCTTCAAAATATATCCAGAATACACTGCTTCTTGCCAACTCCACCACTAGCCTCCAATCAAAGCCACTATGTCATCTCTTTCTTGTACTATAATATTAAGCCCCCCAAACTGGACACCCTGTTTCCACAAAACAAAACATCCATATAATAGCAAGAGTAATCCTTTTCAAACCTAAGTCAGGTCATGTCATTTCTCAAAATTTCTCATGACTTGCCATATCACTTAGAATAAAACACAAAGTTTTCTTAATAGGCTACAAAGCCTCCTTGTGATCTAGCTCCTACTGCCTGTCTCATCCACTTCTCCTCCCCTTGCTTATGCCACTCCAACTACACTGTCCTCCTTGCTTTTCCTCAAAATATACTAAGCATATCCTGCTCCAGAGCCTTTGTACTCACTGTTCCTCAACCAGAAAACCCTTTCCCTGGATATCTGCATAACCTCTCTCACATTATTTAGGCTCAAGTGTTACCTTATCAGAGAGAACTTCTCTTACTATCCTATATAAACTAGCACCTCTGTACTCCCACTGTCACACTCTTGATTCTCTGATCAGCTTTATTATTCTTAGTACCTGTTAGCACCTGATACAGAATATACAGGCATTTTATTGTGCTTTGCTATACTGAGCTTCACAGATACTGCTTTTGTTTTTGTTTTTACAAACCATGAAGTTTGTGGCAACCCTGCATCAAGCAAGTTCATTGGTACCAAATACATTTGCTCATTTCATGTCTCTGTGTTACATTTTGGTAATTCTTGCAATCAAAGCTTTTTAATTGTTATTATATGGTTATCTGTGATCAGTGATCATAACTCACTGAATGCTTAACATTTTTTAGCAGTACTTTTTGAAGTTTATTTATTTTGAGTGGTGGGGAGGGAGGGACAGTGGAGGAGCAGAGAGAGAGGGAGACAGAATCCCAAGCAGGCTCTGCACTGTCAGTGCAGAGCTCAATGTGGGGCTTGAACTCATGAACCTTAATACCATGACCTGAGCTGAAATCAAGAGTCAGATGCTTAACTGAGCCATCCAGGTGCCCCTGGCAGTATTTTCTAATTTAGATATATATACTGTTTTCTTAGACATAACCCTATTGTACACTCAACAGAATACAGTATAAACATAATTTTTAGGGGCACCTGGGTGGCTTAGTAAGTTAAGCGTCCGACTTTCGCTTAGGTCATGATCTCGCAGTTCGTGGGTTCGAGCCCCGCATCGGGCTCTGTGCTGACTGCCAGCTCAGAGCCTGGAGCCTATTTCAGAGCCTGTATCTCCCTCTCTCTCTGACCCTCCCCTGCTCACGCTGTCTCTCTCTCTCTCTCTCTCTCTCCTAGAAATTAAAAAAAAAGTTTTTTTTTAAAAACATAATTTTTATATGCACTGGGAAACAAATTCATTGGACTCATTTTATTGCGATATTCATTTAATTGAAGTGGTCTGGAACAAAACCCACAATATCTCTGATGTATGCATGTAACTATTTGTTTACTGTCTGCTTTTCCCAAGTACTCAAATGTAAGCACCATGAAAGTAGCAATTTGAGCTTATTCATAATGCAACACTAGGGGATAGTCCAAGATGGCAGCACAGGGAGATCCTCAACTCACTTCCCATGGACACACGAAATCCACAACTACATATGCAACAATTCCCTCTGAAAAAGATCTGAAAACTCCTTCACAACAAATAGTAGTAAAAGGCCACATTAAGATGGGGAGGAGAGATAGGACAGTCTCATAAAAACCCCATCTCTAGCATGGAGACCCACAATTGGGAGGAATCTCACAAATCCAGAGTTTCTCCCTGAGAACTGAAGGGTTTGTGCCCCACATTAGGTACCCCAATCCTTGGTAAGTATAACAGTGTGGCAAATCCCCAAAATATCTGGCTTTGAAAATCAACAGGGCTCATAACCAGGAGACTCGAAGGGCTGTAGGAAACTGAGATATTTCTCTTATAGGCTCACATGCAGACTCAGTAGCCCTGGAAACCGGCACAAAAACAGCAATTTGCAAAGTGCCTAGACTGTATGTGAAGGAGATTCACTGGCTAATCTTAAAGCATTTACGAGAGGAGCAGGAGCCCCCTAGAACTCTCTCCAAGGACAGAGGTGCAAGGCCATTTGTGCTCTCCCTCTGACCTGAGAGCACTAGCAGGGCGATCCAGCACCGTGCTTTCCTATGGCCCTGTGAAAAGCTGATGTGTGTACACCAGCCATGCACTCTCCCGTGGACTTGCTAAAGCCACGAAGCTCATGCAGTCTACACAGAGGACGCTCCTTGATTATCTGGCTCTTGTGGCCAGGGCAGCTTGCGTTTCTGGGTCCGATAGGGCTACCACAATTGGAAAGACAGTTCTTGGCAGGCTACCGCCTCCAGGGCACTCCACAGACAGCAGTTTGAAACATATCCTAGTCTTTCTGTAAAACAAGCCTATTTACTTGTCCTGGGAGCTTCAGCTTGAGAGGTGGGATTCATGTTTGCCACACACCTAGTGGCCATAGGTGCTTTCAGGGAAAGTAGGCCAGGGGACACCACCTGTACAGTCTCCTTAAGCTTCACCACCGTTCCCCAGTACCTCCCAAAAAGGAACATATACACTCATGTGAAGTCCTGATTTTTGCCACTGTTGCCCAGGGGACACCTTTAGGTCACCTGGTCTAGAGGTCAACAGAGCTTACAGTCTCACAGGGCTGTGTAGGCATACTTTAAAAGCTGCCTTCTAATTAGAAGAGTCTGGCTTCTAATCAGACTGAAACTAGGGGTTGAGTGAGATCCTTCAAAACCCTGACAAGTCTTGGCATGCTCTCAACAATTGGGACTTATCAAGAATAAATCAGGCTGCTTAGACATTCACAAAGGTTTCAGAGACAACCATGTGCTAGGGCAAGGTTGAAAGATACGGTTCATCTCTTATACAAGGCCATTCTTTCAAGACTTGAAGAGAGACGTACTGCACCTCACGCATAGAAACAAACACAGAGAGTCAAGCAAACTGAGGAAACAGAGGAATATATCACAAACAAAAGAATAAGATAAAATCCTCCAAAAATCTTTTTTAAATGTCTTTTTATTTCTGAGAGAGAGAGAGAAAGAGAGAGAGAGTGAGCGAGCAGAGGAGGGTCAGAGAGAGAGAAAGACACAGAATCCAAAGCAGGCTCCAGCCTCTGAGCTAGCTGTCATCACAGAGCCAGACGCGGGGCTCGAACCCACAAATTGTGAGGTCATGACCTGAGCCAAAGTCTGACGCTTAACCAACTGAGTCACCCAGATGCCCCTCCAAAAATCTTAATGAAACAAACAGCAGCACTAAGAAGAACATCTGGCACTTAGCCACGCACATATTTGTTTAAGTTATTAGTTTAATTTATTATGCTAAAAGTTTATAAAAATTAACTAATTTAATCATCAAAAACCCTAAGGAGATACTATTAATATTTAAGGTTTACCAATGAGACAAAGGCACAAGAGATTAACTTGTACGTCACATTCCTTGTAAGTGGTAGTCAGCCTCCTATATCTGTTAAAAGAGATGAAATTAGATCATACAAACGGAGCATTTAACGAAATGTTTGGCACATCAAATATCTAATATTTATGGAATACTTATATGTACCAAACATTTATGTAGGTTCTTTTTGTATATTTACTTATTTCTCATATTGTTTAATGAGTAGATGCTATTACTGTTTTCAGTATTTTTTATTTATTGGGGCACCATATTGTTTAATGAGTAGATGCTACTATTGTTTTCAGTATTTCTTACTTATTGGAGCACCAAACCTAATGCAACAGAAATTACAGAAAAGACACTGCTGTGAAAGAAATGGGACAAACATTAACCTTTACTCTTCTCAGGAAACAGTTAACATGTGCTTTAAAAAATGTGTTTTGAAAGTTAGCACTGGAAACCAAATCAAAATGAACTGAATTCTTATCACATACACTCTGTTAACTGTGTATTTGTTGGTTTGTAGTTCTAAAAAGCCTTCTAAGACAAATATCATATGTTTGCACGTATAGGAGGATTAGGAGGAACTTGACGGAGGAACAAGGGGGAGAAGAAGGGCGGAAATGGTGGGGGAAAGGGAGAGAGGCAAACCATGAGAGACTCTTGAATGCTGACAAAAACTGAGGACTGATGGATGTGGGGGGGAGGGGGGATGGGCATGGAGGAGGACACTTGTGGGGATGAGCACTGAGTGTTATGTGGAAACTAATTTGACAATAAACTATTTGTAAAAAAAATAAATAAATAAAAATAAAAATAAAAAGCCTTCTAAGATTCAAAGACAAAATAGTAACAGATTTTCTTCAATATAAAAAAAAAAGACCCCTCCCCCAATATCTGCCTGCTACTCCATACTGCATAGTATTATGTTTAATGTAACTTTTTCATTATAAGGAAAAAGCTGGCTGAATTAAAGTAGATCTTTCTAACATTTTAAACAAAACTTACTCATTTACATCAATCTGAAATCACCAAGTTTATGTACTGCAAATAACCTTTTGCTTTAAAAGTCAGTTTTATTACTAAAAATAAACTTTAACATTTCTGCACCTGAGAAAATAGCTAATTCCTTTATCCTTGAGTTAAAGTGAAAAACAAAGGAATCATGAAAATAACAAAATATAATTTCTTCAGCTCAACACAGCATTTATTTTTTTAATTTTTAAAAATTTAGTTCAATTTATAGATACTCATTTTATATTAATAATTAACATAAGAAACATGTAAAGATGTCTTTAAGGTAAAGAACCTTAAAACTTACGGTGCAATAATGGCTCTAGCAGGTCTTTTTGTAGACTGTACTTGTGAGAGCCAACCTTCTAGCTGAGCATTCAGCTGCGGTCCTATAAAAAGAGAAAGGGAAACTGGAGTCAGCAGAGAAATGTACTATATATAACTATACGTGACACAAAGCCCTCACTGAACCTATTTAGAACTAAAACAGCTTAATGGGCAGTGGGATTATTAGCTTGAATGTTAATGTTTGAAAGTTAACCAACTGCTAAGCAAGCCATAGATATGGTCATATACTGATTAAAAAATATTTGCTTTTATCCATTTACTTATTTATAACCACCTTTGTTCCAGAACTGTTCAATCTATAATTTGAGGCACTATTTAAACAATTTAATAAAACAAGAAACAAAAGACTGCTGACAAATGAAAATACCCAAGTGATTGTTTTCGGAGTGCCAAAACTTGCTTTGATCACTAAAATCACATCCATGGAGGGGCGCCTGGATGGCTCAGTCAGTTAAGCGTCTGACTTCGGTTCAGGTCATGATCTCATAGTTCGTGGGTTCGAGCCCCGAGTTGGGCTCTGTGCTGACCGCTAGCTCAGAGTGGAGTCTGGAGCCTGTTTCCGACTCTGTGTCTCTCTCTGTCTCTGACCCTTCCCTGCTCACGCTGTCTCTCCACTGTCTGTCTCTCTCTCTCTCTCTCAGAAATAAATTAAAAAATAAATAAATAAAAATAAATAAAAAAAGAAAATCACATCCATGGAGTGATCACTCCCACACCCAATACCTTTCCTCTTCTCCACTTCAGCCCCTACTCCACTGATCACGTTGAGATAACCAATGAATATGCCATGTCAAAAATCTCAATTTTGGGTCTCCTGGGTGACTCAGTTGATTAAGCGTCCAACTCTGGAGTTCAGCTCCGGTCATGATATCATGGTTTGTAAGTTCAAGCCCACATCAGGCTCTGCGCTATCAGTGAGAAGCCTGTTTGGGACTCTCTGTCTCCCTGTTTCTGTGCCCTTCCCCCATCTGTGCTTGTGCACACTCTCTCTCAAAACTAAACATTTAAAAACAAATTTTAAGTAAAAACTAAACTAAAATAAAATTTTTTAAAAAAATCTCAATTTCAGCGTGCCTAGGAGGCTCAGTTGGTTAAGCGTCCAACTTCAGCTCAGGTCTTGATGCTGTTCGTGGTTCACGATTTCGAGCCCCACATCGGGCTCTGTGCTGACAGCTCAGAGCCTGGAGCCTGCTCTGGATTCTGTGTCTCCCTTTCTCTCTGACTCTCCTCTGCTAACACCCTCTCTCTCAAAAATAAAAATTTTTTATTAGAAATCTCAATTTCAAGCATCTCACTCTCCTCATATCCTATCTTTCTAGTTCACTTCTAGAAATCTGCTCATTCCCAACAGATTTGGAGTTACTTTTCCCACTATCCTTCCTCTCCTTTCTTCAGCTCTTAACCCAGCCTGAGACTTGATGATCCATCACTATCATCACTTCCTTCCCTACGCCCTCAGTCTTGTTCCTCTCTTCCATCACAGTCAAAGCACAGTTAAAACCATCTTTCCACTTGACACAGTACCTTCACCTATACAGTTGAATGAGATAACAAAGAAACACAACCAAATGAACTTCAAAATTATACCCATAAACTTCAGCCCTTAGGAAAGCTCAGAAATCTTACTACATTAACCTAGGGAATTTGCTCTCCCAGCCTCAAGATCATCACTTCATAGAGTTTTACCTTAAACTCTCATCCCCCTCTCACTCCCAGTAGATAATTATGCTTTTTGTTTTGTCAAAGAAAATCAGAAGATGGCTAGCCATTCTGGTTTACCTAGGACTTTCCCAGTTTTAGCAATGAAAGTCTTATGTCTTGGGAAACCTCTTAGTCTCAGGCAAACTTGGACATTAGTCACCCTAAATTCAAAAAATAATTCCTTCCCCTTCCTACCACTTATTCTGCTTTCTCTTCTGTGTCAACAAATTGTCCTTACTCCTATCAAAAGCCAAACAAATTACTTCTGCACTCGGTACCATTGTTTTTCTTCTCAAGAACATTGCTCTTTATTTATTTATTTATTTATTTATTTAAAAAAAATTTTTTTTCTAGGAGAGAGAGAGAGACAATGTGAGCAGGGGAGGGTCAGAGAGAGAGGGAGTCACAGACTGAAACAGGCTCCGGGCTCTGAGTTGGCAGTCAGCACAGAGCCCGACGCGGGGCCCGAACCCACGAACCGCGAGATCATGACCTAAGCAAAAGTTGGACGCTTAACCGACTAAGCCACCCAGGCACCCCGAACAATGCTCTTTTAGAACTGTCCTGGTCTCCTGCACTAATTTGGTCCCTTTTTACCAGATCATTACCAATAGCATGAAAATATGTAAAATAAGCAGAATGATTTCTCCCCAACTACCACCTACTTCTCTGGCCTCCTATTTTTCTGGCTTTTTTTTTTAAGCTTTTGATCATAACATATTTAAACAACACAAAAGAATCTAGATAATAATGAAACAAATACCCATGTACCCACTGTCCAAATAAATTAAATTTTAACATTCTTACCTACTTAGGATCTTACTTTAATAAGAAATAAAATATTACAGACACAGTAGAAAACATCGCTGATCCCATTATATATTTCCCTACTTAGAGATAACTACTTTCTGAATCTGGTGTTTTTCATTGCATTATACTTTTACTTATATACACCTATAAAACTATGTATTGCTCTGCACAGGTATTGTTCTGCAGGTTTTAAAGTTTTATATAAATATAGGGGCGCCTGGGTGGCTCACTGATTAAGCAGCCAACTTCGGCACAGGTCACGATCTTGTGGTTCGGGAGTTCGAGCCCCACGTCGGGCTCTGTGCTGACAGCTCACAGCCTGGAGCCTGCTTCAGGTTCTGTGTCTCCTTCTCTGCCCTTCCCCTGCTTGCCCTCTCTCTGTCTCTCAAAAATAAATAAACATTAAAAAAATTAAAAAATATATATATAATATAAATATATTGTACATGTTCTTTTGTAATTTTATAATTTGATTTAGCCACTCAACATTACTTGTAAGTTATTCATGTTGACTTTGTAGCTCTAATTCACTCATTTTCAATGCTGTTTAGTATTATGTGAATATACCAAGCTTTACCTATTCATTCTCTTCAAAGACATTTGGTTGTTTCCACTGTTTCACTGTTAATACACAATGTTACAAGTCTCTTATAAACACATATTAAGAGTTTCTCTGGGATTTAACTAGAAATAAAAGTACTGGATCATAGAGTATGCACATCTTCAACTCTACCAGAACATTGCAAATTGCCCACTAAAGTGGCCAGGTCAATTTACCCATCAGTGTTAAGGGCATAAAAAATGAAAGCTTTAACTCTCCATGTTAAAAAATAAGGGAAGATAGGGGTGCCTGGGTGGCTCAGTCGGTTAAGCGTCCAACTTCGGCTCAGGTCATGATCTCACAGTTCGTGGGTTCGAGTCCCACATTGGGCTCTGTGCTGACAGCTCAGAGCCTGGAGCCTGCTTCGGATTCGGTGTCTCCATCTCTCTCTGACCCTCCCCTACTCACGCTGCCTTTCTCTCTCTCTCTCTCTCTCTCTCTCTCAGAAAAAAAAAAAAAACATTAAAAATAAAATAAGGGAAGAGAGGGGCACCTGGCAGCTCAGTCAGTGGAACATGTGACTCTTGATCTTGAGGTCGTGAGCTGGAGCCCCATGTTGGGCATGGAGCCTACTTTTATATTATTATATTTAATATAATATTGTATTGTATTGTATATATTGTATATATTATATTTATTATATTATATGGAAGATGCAGCACCTGAGTGGCTCAGTCAGTTAAGCACCCAACTCTTGTTTTCTACTTAGGTCATGATGTTACAGTGTGGGAGTTAGAACCCTGCGTCAGGCTCCACACTGTTGGTGTGGACCCTGCTCAGGATTCTCTCCTCTCTCTGCCCCTTCCCCACATTCGCATGCTCTCTCTCAAAATAAATAAATAAACTTTAAAAATAAATACATAAAATCAAATATGGAAGAGCTACCCCACACATTTTTGTTAGAGCACTTTCTCTAGAAAGATTATAATTGTAAATTCTTTATCCCTTTGAAATATATATATATATATATATATGTATATGTATGTAAGTTGTTTTAAAGCTAAATAAGCTTCTAGCCCCCCACCCCCATCCCACCCCCATCCCACCCCAGCTGGGGCTCAGTCAGTAGATCATGAGACTCTTAATCTCAGGGTCATGAGTCCAAGGCCAATGTTGGATGTAGAACTTACTTTAAAAATCAAGTAAATAAGTATGTAAATGAACAAATAAATAAATAAGCAAGCTTATTTTATTAAAACAATTTTTTTAATGTTTTATTTATTTCTGAGAGACAGAGATGACAGCATGAGCAGGGAAGGGTGAGAGAGAAAAGACACAGAATCCGAAGCAGGCTCCAGGCTCTGAGCTAGCTGTCAGTACAGAGCCCTATGCAGGGCTCGAACTCATGAACCGTGAGATCATGACCTGAGCCAAAGTCAGATGCTTAACTGACTGAGTCATCCAGGCACCCCATAAATAAGCAAGCTTCTAACCAGCAACCCAGGACTATCTTAAGGACCCAGTAATCACCTCTTTGAAATGTTATTTGCACCAAAGGAGAGAGCAACCTCTTTCTGCCAGTTTCTGTGTAAAGACAGGAGCACTAACTACCTGGCCACCTATCTCCAAGTTGCAAAATTATTTCCTTTATAAAAATACAAGTTTAGGGGCGCGTGGCTGGCTCAGTCGGTTGAGAGTCCGGCTTTGGCTCAGGTCATGATTTTGTGGTTCATGAGTTCAAGCCCCGCGTTGGGCTCTGTGCTGATAGTTCAGAGCCTGGAGCCTGTTTCGGATTCTTTGTCTCCCTCTCTCTTGTTCTTCCCCCACTTGCATTCTATTTCTCTCTCTCTCAAAAATAAACATTTAAAAAAAATTTTTAAATAAAGATACAAGTTTATTTTTAGCCAATTAACAAATACATATTGTCACCCCAAATACCAAGTGATTTAGGGTAAACTATGTGTGAGAAATGTTGCTATCAAGTCCTCT